CCACCATGCCAGGAAGACTAAGGATGGCGACTAGATTAAAAGCATTTACCGGTATAGTGTATTATATTTACACCATTCTGGAGGTCTTCAGGCAGAGTTGTACTGCAGGAGAATAGGGGTGTAACAGTAAGTTGTTCCCCTCAGATGACCAGCATGCCAGCTATGCTGTCTCTCCATTCTGGATAGAAAGGGTTAGAAAAGGTCGACCCCCAAAATTGGTCCGTAGCCGGCGGCAAGTTAATAATACGGAACCAAATTAAAAATCAGTTCAGACAGGCCTCAGGCAGTTGTCCTTTGGGCTCTGCGGTCACGCAGCACACTCTGTTCCAGGTAGCTCAACCTCCACGGTCTGGCCAGCAGGGAATTAACAACCCCCTATACACTTCCAAAAGCTCACTAAACCCTCTTTATCTATCGTTTGACTTCGCGAATCTTCCTGGAATTCCTCATGCAAGTCCAGAACAAGAGGCGAAATTCGATTTGGTTATACCACCTGTAACTTTGATTTCCAAAGATCATCCACCGTGGTGGCCGTTCTAGTTTAGTTTTGCAGCTTCCCTTATGTGTAATAATTGACTTTTAATCCCCACCTCCCAGACAGATAATTAATGATCAGTCCTGGGGTGTTTTGACCGAGATAGGGTCTTTGTAGAAGATGTTGCATACTAGTATCCGACCCCGATATATAAAATCACTTCACGTCTTTTAATTTGCCAAAATCTGTTTACGATTGTATACCAACATTGTGTCGAAAAGCACGAGTAGAAGCTTGGGAAAGTGTATTATTGGCGAAATCAGACTTCTAAAGTGCACAAACAGAAACCGACGGTGCTTAACCGCACAAAGTTCATCAAAATAATTGAAAATGGTAAATATTCACTAAGCATACGTGAGATGGTTTCTGTAAGTGTCTATTATAGGGACAGAACATAATTCCTTTCACCAGAGCAATGAAATATGAAACAGTAAATTCAAGTGTTCGAGAGTATCAGTTGTTTGAATAACAATGGCGATATGATATGGAAATATGTATATATATTCAGCTGATAAGTATGCAAGTTAATCCACGGAGATATGAATAATGAATAAACAGTTTGCAATATCAGTAGTAAGTGCAGTGAGAATAAAATAATTAGCAATTATGACATAAACCATGTGAAATAGTGAAAGTCAATTAGGGATCCGTAGTACTTTAGTGAAAACGATATGAGTGGTAAACATTATATGATTAGGTGGAATAATGCAGAAATTTTTTGTTGAAGTAATAAGAATGCCAATCACGAACAAAAGTACTATCACTTTGAATGAACTGTTGAGAAGATTTACATCCCATATTTTTTAACCTTCATATCTGTGTTACTGATGAAATATCAGAGAATACGTTCTATGAAACTGTCCTTCATCTCTTGAGATTGACACGAGTGACGAGCTGCGCGTATTCCAAAGTACTATCCTAAATGACTAGTGTTAACTGAGGTTATTTTATTTTTAACTGCAAACTTGAGACAATATGGACACCAAGGTGTGCATCATAGAGTAACCGAGCGACCATGTAAAGAAGAGAAATAAGGCATTGGGGGAGCGATGAAGTGGGCAAGCATGCTGATCACGTACACTTATTACTTTGTGTCATTTTCTGTGGTTGAGGGAGCCACGAAAGATTGGTATGTCATATAAGGTCACCAAGTTGCGTGATCTGTGAAGCTTTACCTAGGAAATTGTGGTGTACGGGTTGCTGTTAACCTAACACTAATGTCATCCATTCCATACAGCTTCTTTGTTTCCCAATCAGACCAATGGTTATTAAGCAGTGAATTATAAATTAATCTCTGAAAAAAGACTTAATCTACCCTGTTGAGACGTGCCCTTACATATATCAAAATTGATTACCGTTACAAAGACAATTGTGACCAATCATGCTAAGTAGCTGTACTTCCTACCTTCACGTGGTTAGACTCTGATCACGCCCTGGTTCTCGCACGTTTATGCTTACTATTAAACGGACATAAAAAATTGTTGGCAGCGAAGTAGCTGCGTCCCCAACTAGATCAAGACTCTGAGTCCATATTTAAGGAAGAAATAGCGAAACGAGTACCTCAGGTCGACAGCAGGACTCCTCTTAAGGTAGCCTAGCATAACATACAGTTAGCTGTAGGCAGCTGTGAAAGCTGTTAATAACCTGAAACCTAAAGTTAGTAAGACCGATTGGATTTCTACCACCTCATCCGAACTGATTGATGCAAGAAGACTGATTCCGGCGAGCTCCGATTACGATGAGCGAAAGCTACTCAAACTAACAAGAAGCCTCCATAACTACCGTGAACAGTGGTGGACAACTATTTAGGCTTATCATGGAAATAGATGGTAAAAGGCAGATGGTAAGTGAAACAATACCTGAGGAAGGTGGCACCGTAATTAGCTCTCAGGATAGACGACTAGGACGTTTGAAAGAACACCTTAAGGAGCAGTTTAATTGTCCTACATCCACGCTCAACTTACCGAACATCCAATACCTCCCTGCATGGGATATAGACCCAGGCCCTCCGTCCCTAACTGAGGTTACTAATACTGTCACTAGTCTGAAACGAGGCAAAGCAGCGGGACCTGATGGAATGACTCCAGAGGTGTTCAAGGATGGCGGAGACAGTTTACTGTCTGCGTTAACTAAGGTACTTGGCAGCGTCTAGGAATCAGAGGGAGTCCTGTCGGGTTGGTGTAAGTCATTGATTATCTCCATATACAAGAAGGTAGACAAGTCTTCCTGTGATAATCACAGGGGGATTAGCTTGATTAATATGGTATCCAAAGTTCTATGTTCAATAATAGTACGTAGACTAAGCGGTGCTCGGAGGAACAAACACGAGAGAACCAGGCAGGTTTTAGATCAGGAACAGGGTGTATTGATCATATCTTCACCCTTCGACAGATTCTGGAACATAGGCATTCTACCGTCGGCGTCCAACTATCGTTATATTTCTTGACCCAAAGGGGGCATTCGATTCTGTCGACTGAGAGGTACCGTGGCGATGTTTGGCTGTGAAAGGAATCCCGAGAAAATACATTGCAATGATCAAGGCACTCTACTCGAACTCATGCAGCCAGGTGAGAGCTTACGGGTAGTTTTCATCTGAACTAGTGACAACTAGTGGTTTCCGACAGGGATGCTCACTATGCCTTTTCTATTCAATTTCATCATAGATGTACTGATGGACTTAACTCTAACTCACTTCAGAGACTCAGGGATCGACTTGTTACTAAGGTAAAATCTCGTTGGTTTAGAACATGCATATGATGTAGTCCTCCTTCTAGGTGAGGACGCTGACATAATGCAGTCTTCTGAACACCTTGAGCTGCACTCTGCGAATGATTGGCATGCGATTCGCTCCCGCCAAATGTAAGGGGATGCTACAGTACTGGGCTACATTAACTCCTAGCTTAGAAATAGGGAGCGAAGTGGTTGGTGGAGCGTGTTGACCACTTCCCTCATTTGGGAAGTTGCATCAGCCACAACAGGTTGATTGCTGACGAAATCTCAGCACAGGTACAGAGGGCTAGTTTCGCATATGCCAGTTTACGCCGTCTCTGGCGTAGACGTGATATGCGGCTATCAACCAAAGGACGTATGTACTGTTCTGCAGTCCGATCCGTCCTCCTTTATGGCTGCGAGACCTGGCCATTGAGAGTGGAAGACATGAAAAGCCTGGCTAGCTGTATTTGATCACAGGTGCCTATGCTCTAGCTCCCGTGTGAAGTGGTCTGTCTGTCTGTCTGTCTGGATTCAACATAGAACTTGGCACCGAAGTGCACCAGTTCGAGTTGCCACGTTCCAAATAGCACACAAAAGTAAACAAGAAGATGAGTGAAGAGAATCAATAGAGTTTGACAAGTATAAGAGTGAAACAGAATGGGTAATGGTAGAAAGGAATATGAAATATTACACAGACTGAATACATCTGCGCCATTGACAACGGTTTTGAGCTATGTGAAGTGGTGTAATAAGGTGAGCAATATTGAGGTTAGGCGTCAAATGCCAGGTAAGGAGGGGAAATCAATCGATGAGGCTGTGAAGTTGCTTCGATTGAGATGGTTAGGACATGTGTTACGTATGCCTAGTCACCGCCTTCCTCGACGGGCATTTTTAGCTGACAAAGGGTTAGGGTGGAAAAGAGCTAGCGGCGCTCAAACCAAAACATGGCACTAGTCAATGAAATACACAACAGTTAGTTTATGCCACGTAGAAAGGTCTAGACTTCCTGGTTGGGGTTCTCGGGACGGTAAAAACCAATGGTTGGAAACAATTGGTGATGTAGCTTTTTGCTTTCTTCTTCTCTGGCTTTGTGTGCTGGGTAGTGTGGCGACTGGAACTTCTGCACATCTGTGCAAAGTTCTACTTTGAAACCAGTCAGTCAGTCAGTCCTGTTTCGGGAAGTTTCATTGGAAACCAACTCGACTAAGTGTTGTATACCTGATTGGTATCTGCCGGCAAAACTACCGTCGCGACAATATCATAGGTAATCTAAAGTGGTGTATGTACCTGTGGCTTTTTAATACAGATTCCTAACTGTTTGCCAAACTGACACAAATCTGTTGCAGAATGTCACTCGGAATTTCAGGTTATAACAATATATATATATATATATATATATATATATATATATATATATATATATATATATATTTAGTCGTATGATGTACTAATAACTATCACCTAGTTTTCTAGGTGTGAAGTTGTGTTTTACAATACACTCACTTTGATAATTAGATATTTGAAGTAGTGGAAATTAGAAAATGTATAAAGAGCTCTCTATGCGAGTGTTGAGGTCAGTGCAGATTTCTGTTTGTCGCATGGATCGCAAGTAATATTAGTTGTGAACTTATCAATATTTTATACATTCATTATTATTTAACAAGTATATCTTTCTTTTCATTTTAGATAAAATACTCAAAACTGTGGATACCTACTCTCGGTACCAACTTTTGTGGTTTCGTTCCTATACAATATGGACGATGAAATGAGCGTTTGTCGTTACGATCCTTGTGATACTCATATAAGTCAAACTATAGATGGTAATTATTTTGATGAATTGAGGATAATGAATCTTATATTAGGTTCCGATTTAGTATCTGAGCTATCTATTGTTCGTGCACAGAAGTCTTCGAGTGAATTCGCACTGTCATCTGCAAAAATTAAATATGAGTCTAAAATGAAGCATTTAAAGACTGAAAAAGAGGTATTTCTCAAGTTATTTTTTTGTATATTTTAAGATCATTGAATCAGAGAAGAATAGCCTGCTCAGTGAACACAATTCTCTAAAACGAAAGTATCAATTATTAGAATTTGAAAGAAGCTACGATCAGTCAAAGTTTTCCAGTCTTCGAAGAACTCTTGATGATCGTATGAATTCAGTGCTTCAATCATCTAACGGTGTGGAATCATCACTGACTTCAGTAGGTTGATTTTTTTCGCTTTCTTTACTTGTAATTTTTACTAACTTAGGGAGCTTATAGATTGTCACATAATTTTTAAGTTTAAAATTGTTTCATCTCCATAAGCTAATAATAATAGACGAAATCATCCTAAGGGGCTAAGTACTGTATATTGTATTTACCAAGAGGATTACAAATTCCGCACTACTGTTTAATCTGGACTTGTCGGCCTTCGCCAAACTTTGTGTATTTGTTTTAGGTCTTATTCACCTGTTGCTATTTACTACCAAACGAGTCTTGACTTTTATCAACTTGACGAATGCCGTCAACAAATATCTTATTATGTTTTTCCTTAGGAAGGCAAAACAAGTGGAATAGAATTGATTTGTGGAAGAGTAATAGGTTATTTCGAATGTTTTGTATTCGTACAGCAGTAACAGTTCGACTCTGCGTGTTCGATCATCGCTGTCTCCGCAGGATTGCTTGCGTTCGATGGAATCATCGCGTGAGTAATTCTGAGGTTCGGCGGCGTGTGTTTGAACACAGTGGAGATCACCATTCATTGAGTGTCGTCATCTGGAAACACCGGCTCCGGTGGCTTGGATATGTGCTGCGAACGTCACCCCAGAGGCTTCCGTACAGGCCTCTGTTCGCTAGCCCTGGGATGGGATGGAAAAGGTGGAGAGGTGGTCAGTCCATGACATGGCGTCGTGGGATGAAGGATTTTTGTGCTAGATTAGCATCGGTTGGTGTGTCACGACTCCCTGGTTGGGGTCCGAGAGATAGCTCGAATCGATGGCTCGAAACGTTATCGGATATGGCCAAGAATCGTAATCAGTGGCGAACGTGTTGCAATTTCCTTCTTTCTTCCCTTCCCGATGATAGTTAACGAACACTGTTTGAACTTGTTAAGCATGACTGTTTTCCTTCCAGATGAAGTTCTTTATCCGTTCTCTACTTATATATATTTTTTCTTTTCCTTCCTTCCTTTTTTTTGATCTATGTTGTTTTATTATTGTTGTGTGGCGCATCTTTCTTGGTGCCATATTGTACCAAGTTTTTTATGCGTTTCTCTGTCTGTCTGGATTCAACATAGAACTTGGCACCGAAGTGCACCAGTTCGAGTTGCCACGTTCCAAATAGCACACAAAAGTAAACAAGAAGATGAGTGAAGAGAATCAATAGAGTTTGACAAGTATAAGAGTGAAACAGAATGGGTAATGGTAGAAAGGAATATGAAATATTACACAGACTGAATACATCTGCGCCATTGACAACGATTTTGAGCCATGACACCTATTGTCTCCAGGCATTGATTCCTAGAGTCCCGAGGCCCCCAACCCGGGAGTCTGCATCTCCCTACCGGACTCAGTTTAACTGTCAAGGATTTCATGGATTGATGCCATGTTTTTGTTTGGCCACCACTGGCTCTTTTCCAACCTGCACCTATATCGGCTAGCAATGCCCGTCGGGGGAGGCGATGGTTAGGCATGCGCACCACATGACCTAGCCATCTCAATCTATGTAACTTTATAGCCTTGTCGATTGATTTTCCCTCTTTGCCCAACACTACGCCTAACGTCAACATTATTTACCTTGTTAAACCACCTAACGTGAGACAGGGATCGCAGACATCTATGATCGAAAGCAGTTAACCTTTTCATGTCTTCAACGCGTATTGGCCATGTTTCAGAGCCATAGAGAAGGACGGAGCGAACTGCTGAGCAGTACACACGTCCCTTGGTTGATAACCGGATGTCACGCCTACGCCAGAGATGGTGTAAGTCAGCGAAAGCAGCTCGAGCTTTTCGGATCCGTGCTGAGATTTCATCGCCAATCAGTCCGTTGGTGCTAATACAACTTCCCAAATAGGTGAAGTGGTCAACATGTTCTATCACTTCACTCCCTATCACTAAGGAGTTGACGTGGTCCAGTCCTGTAGCAGCATCTTACATTTTGCAGGGGCGAATCGCATGCCAAACATACGAAGATTGCTGCTCAAGGTGTTCAGAAGACTCTGCATTTTGTCAGAATCCTCCCCTAACAGGACTATGTCATCTGCATATTCTAAGTCCATAAGACTATTCCCTGGTAACAAGTCGATTCCTAAGTCATTACGTTCAGTTAAGGATACTTCCATCAGCATATCTATGATGAAGTTAAACAGAAATGGGGAAAGTGGACATCCTTGTCGGACACCACTGGTTGTTGCCGATTCAGATGACAATTCCCCATAAGCCCTTACACGACTACGTGAGTTTGAATAGAGTGCCTTGATTAGTGCAATGTACTTTCTTGGCACTCCCTTCACAGTCAGACATTGCCATAGTACCTTTCGATCCACGGAGTCGAAGGCCGCCTTCAAGTCAAGAAATATGACAATTGTTGGACGCCGAAAAGTGTGTCTATGTTCTAGAATCCGTCGGAAAGTGAAGATATGATCTATGCACCCTCTACCTGGTCTAAAGCCTGCTTGATTTTCCCTTATCTGTTCCTCCCGAGTTCTGCTTAGTCTATGCATGATTACTGAGCCTAGGATTTTAGAGACTATGTTCGTTAGGCTGATCCCCCTATGATTATCACACGAGGACTTGTTTCCCTTTTTGAATATCGGTATAATAAGTGACTTACCCCAGTCTGATGGCATTGTCTCTGATTCCCAGACTTTGCCTAGTACCTCAGTTAATCTACAAACTAGTATGTCACCCGCATATTTAAACACCTCCAGAATAATTCCGTCGGGTCCTGCCGCTTTGCCTCGTTTCAAATTACTGATAGCTTTTGTGACCTCACTTACAGACGGCGGACCAGTGTCTATATTTTATTCGGGTGTGTGCTGGATGTCGGGGAGGTTCAGTGTGGCTGTAGGCAAGTTAAATTGTCCCTCAAAGTGTTCTTTCCAGCGTTCAAGGCGTCTATCCTGAGAGCTAATTAAGGAGCCATTTTTCTCAGCAATAGTTTTATTTTATTTTATTTAAACACATAAAAAACTTGGTACAATATGGCACCAAGAAAGATGCACCACACAACAATAATAAAACAACATAGATCAAAAAAGAGGAAGGAAGGAAAAGAAAAAATATATATAAGTAGAGAACGGATAAAGAACTTCATCTGGAAGGAAAACAGTCATGCTTAACAAGTTCAAACAGTGTTCGTTAACTATCATCGGGAAGGGAAGAAAGAAGGAAATTGCAACACGTTCGCCACTGATTACGATTCTTGGCCATATCCGATAACGTTTCGAGCCATCGATTCGAGCTATCTCTCGGACCCCAACCAGGGAGTCGTGACACACCAACCGATGCTAATCTAGCACAAAAATCCTTCATCCCACGACGCCATGTCATGGACTGACCACCTCTCCACCTTTTCCATCCCATCCCAGGGCTAGCGAACAGCGACCTGTACGGAAGCCTCTGGGGTGACATTAGGAGCACATGTCCAAGCCACCGGAGCCGGTGTTTCCAGATGACGACATTCAAGGAATAGTGATCTCCACTGTGTTCAAACACACGCCGCCGAACCTCAGAATTACTCACGTGATGATTCCATCGAACGCAAGCAATCCTGCGGAGACAGCGATGATCGAACACGCAGAGTCGCCGCACATCCTCAGCTCGGAGAGGCCAGGTTTCACAGGCGTAGAGCAGGACAGCTCGCACCGAAGCATTGTATACCCGACCTTTGACAGCCAGGCTAACGTCGCGACGGCGCCGGAGGTGGCTCAAGTTGATGTATGCCACCCTAGCCTTCATTATACGGTTGGAAATCTCATCCGTCACCCCTCCGCCAGCACTCACACAACTACCCAGGTACACAAACTTATCAGCAACTTCAAGCGGTTCACCCGCAAGAGTGAGTGCAGGTACAGGCTCCTGCCAATCTTGTAACAGTACTTTGCACTTAGATGGCGCAAAGCACATACCATACTTACAGACACTGATCGCCAACTGATTAAGTGCGATTTGGGCAGCCTGCATGCTATCGCACAGTAAGACGATATCGTCTGCATACTCGAGGTCGAAAAGTCTATCTCCAGGTAGCAGATCTACACCACCTTCACGCACATCCTTCAGAGCTGACTCCAGAATGTCATCGATGGCAAAGTTAAAGAGAAACGGAGAGATTGGGCAACCCTGTCTAACCCCACTGTTGGTTGGGAACAGTGGTGATAGTTGGTTGTATGCCCTCACTCTACCTGAGGTGTTTCTATATAGGGCTTTCAGGATGTTAACAAATTTCTCAGGTACACCTCTCTCTAACAGACAGTTCCAGAGCACAGTTCTGTCCAACGAATCGAAGGCAGCCCTAATATCAAGAAACACAACGATCGTTGGCCTGCAATACGTGTGGTCTCACTTATGATTTGCCTTCTCCCACCCGTTTCCCTGATGAGTCTAAAGAGTTTCCTAGTATTGCCTATCGCCGATGCTTTTTCCATCTCTTTTGCCTTTGTCAGCCACCACTGTTCACGGTCCTTGCGGAGACTTTTCGTAAGTTTCCTTTTGTGCAGCTTTCGCTCCTCATTGAATTCGGAGCTCGCCGGAATAAGTCTTCTAGCATCTATCAGTTCGGATGAGGCGGTGGAGATCCAGTGGTTTTTACTCACCTTTGGATTTGCCTTATTCACAGCTTTTACAGCTGTATCTATAGCTGACTGAATATTCTTCCAGCTTCTCCAGGGTGAGCACAGCTGTCGAACTCAGATATGCGTTTAGCTAGTTCTTCCTCAAATAGGGATTTAGTTTCCTGATCGAGCTGGGGACGTGATGGTTTTACCGCCAGCTGTTTCCTACGTCCGTTCAGTCGTAAGCACACCCGAGCGCGGACCAGTGCATGGTCGGTATCTACACACGTGTTCCAGAAGGAGCGACAATCTCCTACCGACCCACGCCAACGATAGCTTATTGCTATGTGGTCTATTTGTGTCCAGCGTTGGTTTGATGAAGGGGGTCTCCAAGTCAAACAGTGTCTCTCCTTGTGTTTGAAGTTAGTGCTTACAAGAAACAAATGATTATCAGAGCAGAACTGTAGGAGACGGTCACCGTTGTCGGTTCGCTGGCACGGAACTCCATAGGTGCCACCGACATCCTTCTCAGATTGACACAATTTCCCTACTTGAGCGTTAAAGTCACCAGCTAGAACGACTATGCTGAGCGTTTAGCCTTTCGCACCAAACTAGACAGCTTTTGGTAGAACTCATCCTTCGTTTCATCTGAACTGCAGTCAGTGGGGGCGTAGGCGGAGATTACGAAAAGGCATCGGCGAGTAGTGCAGTCCTTCCTCCTTCTTACTGATCCGTTCAGGCGGACAGCACACATTCGGCTATCTACCGGGATCCAGTCAAGCAATGTCTTTTCTGCCCTAGTACTCAAAGCTATCCCTACGCCAGCTAATCCTCGTGAACTAGCTGTGGCATCTCCTGACACCCTCAAGGTGAATTTTGCAGATTCAACCTGTTGGCCAGGTGGGGTTAGGTGAATAACCACACTTGGGTCTTGTATGCGTGTTTCTGAAACACAGCATACATCAATGGCTCGGATGCCAGGGTCTTAGCTAGTGATGCTTGTTGTCCTATTTGGCAAAGTGTCCTAACATTAAGAGCTCCTATATGAAATTGGTGGCGTGGCTTTAGGAGACTATCGGTGGTGGTTTTTTGGCTTCCGTCGTTTTTAGTGGACACAGAGTGAAGAGGGAGTGAGGAGCCATCAAGTAGAGGAGTTGCATCAGTGGGAGGAAGGCAAGGTAATAGAGATGAAGATGAAGACAAAGATAGGTGAGGATTAGAGAGGTTTCGTGTGCATTTCGGATTGTGAGGGCGATTGTTACTTCCCGGCTGCCCACACCGTGGAAGTTGGTTGCGTGACCGCAGAGCCCAGGGGACAACTGCTTGAGGCCGGTCACACGCGGCCTGTTTTTGTTTGTTCTCTTTTGTTTGGTGTGCCTCAGTAGCATACTTATCACTCCTGCCCTGTGACACGGCAGCAGGAAGCGCGGTCGTTGTTAATCCGGGCCACGGCCGATCCGGCATGAAATTTTGTGAATTTGTTTGAATCATGGTATTGTATGGGGTAGCTGCTTTTTGTTTAACCGCTATCCAAACAACCTGCCTGGCATGGTAGAACCTCAAGAGACATAAGTCTCAGCCAGTATAGCTTGATTAGGTCATTGCGGTGTTCAAGCCCGACCACCACGTCAAGGTAGCAGCTTTCGGTCTATATTACTTACCACTTCACGGTTAGGTAATGAAAGTGAGTAATGTGTTGCATTATTATGGTTATCATTATTATTATTATTATTACTATTGTGTTGTAATGGTGTGTCCTTCAGATGATAATCCAAGTGTGATAAAGTCTTCTCCATTTCACAGGCTGGCGATTTATTCTCATTCGTAAAAACCGGATGAATCGGTGTCACTTGGAGGGCGTTCAATAGAACATCACCTGATACTGTTTTTGGTGCTACTGCACCATCAACTTTAAGCGAACTTGATGCAAAACTGTTCATAGGACCAGGGGTACTACAGAATGCAGCAGGTGGACATCCACCTATCATGTGATCCTTAGGCTCAACAACAACAGAATTTGGAATGTGATCAGATTGAGTAATATTTTCTTGATTAAGTTTTGGCATTTGATCTGTAAGACTAACAGTAGGATGACTAACATCCGATTCAACAATTAATTGATGCCTTTCATAAGATGAAAAGTTTGGAATAAATCCACTAACACCAGGGACTATATCTTGCTGTTTCTCTTTCCGTTTTCCTTTTACTCGGATTGCGTTTAAATAAATAAATAAATATAATCATAGCAGCAGAAAAGGAACCCCAACGGAAATTAGATCAGTAACAACAAGAGACATCTAATTTCTCGTCTAAAGTATAGCAAGTTACCTTAATTTATTTTTCCACTGAAATGCTTGTTTTCAAAAATCCTTTGGAATGTGATAACACTAGACTTTGTGATTTTTGGTTACTATTGGATTGCATTAAAATATCCAATAGTATTCATTATTTGAATAATATCTTAAATAAGCTAGTTTGTATGTGTGTAATTGCACAATCACTTCAGGCTTTCTCTACATAACTAATAGTTATGAATTTGACCCTTCTTAACTTTTGATGACATTATTATGACAGAGTAAAACAAAAATCGTTTTGTAGACCACAGTTTCTTAGCTGCGGTGTAATGAAACCATTGCATGGTGTATGAGCAATAATACCGTCGAGAAACTGTTATCATGTTAATTATGAGGATGTAAAATATACATACGAATCGATATGTATATTAAGTGGCATGACTAGTCATGATATATATAATAAAAAACACCCCACAAGCACTCACATTTCCATACAGGTAACAATAAGCTGCACCTGTTTTGTGTGAGGACTAGTGATACCACTTGATTGAACAAACCTCTTTTAGGTGGAACAGCGTTCGAAACCTTAACCGAGTAGTTGGAGGTCGAGTGCCTAAATCAGTTAGCCACAGCTCCACCATAATATAAAATACATTGATTATACTATGTATCTAGAATGATTACAATATTTTTTTTAACCTAAAAGCCTGCAATAAACATTAATCATCTTTGGCTATGCAACTATGTAAAGAAACTAGCATATATAGCATATGTCATATTCAATGAAATCTGTCCAGTATGTTTGATAGGACATTCTTAAAGGTTATTGTTGCATGATAATAATAATAGACGCGTATTCAATAAAAATTTAGAATGTTGTGATTACCACTCACATATAAATGCATGTGTCTTCTTTGAACCTTTTTTGCAGTGGATAAGGAATCATTCATATTGATGTAAAGCTTATTTGATAGACTCTTGATGTATCCGTGTGGAGCTGTTGTTAATTAGTTCGTCTGCATTCCCAGTGGGAAATAGCGCTTCAAACTGGAGCCCTGAAGTTTCAGTAGGGATGATTTTGCCTTTATGGAGTGGGGTTGGTGACCTCACACTTCACCTTCTTTCTTTACGGGGTTTACTATTGGCTAAGCGAGGTTTATGAATGTGTCTGTCTGCATGGAATCGAACCCGGACCCCGTGAGGTGTGGTTAGCTAGGATTCTACCAGTAAACCACCGACAACATTGTATTAACTCGTTAATACCATACTATCAATCGACAGTGGTATATAAGCATTGAGCATTAATGCATTTTAAGATAGTTTCGGGTATTTTGATTACCACATTTATCGCATAATTCATTCAGTGTGTTGATATCACTACATGAACAACGTGAAGATACAGGTAAAAAAAGTAAACGAGATGTTAAGGTTGTAAAACACAATCGAATAAGATGACTGCAACATGTATTACATTTGTGAGATCGCTATCCACTTCAATACCATCTTTTTTATTCCTTCACGTTCCCAGTGGAACATAGGGCTTCAAGTTAAAGGCTTGAAGTTTCTGTAGCAGTGTTTATTTTTACAGGATGGGGTTGCTAACCTCATGTCCAACCTTTGCTCTTTACCACCTTTTTATTTCTGGTTTAGTGAGGTAAAGGAGTGTGTCGACCGGGGATGGAACCCTAGACCATGTGCATGGTCAGCGAGCGTCTCCTAACCACTGTGGCACCGACGCACTTCACTGCTGTTAGTAAACTGAAATGTTTCATACTAAAATGTAGGCGCTTTTGATCTGTTATTATATTTTGCGATCTGTATCGTTTAATTTTGATATCCACTGGTGACGGTATGTTGAGTAAATAATGTTATTACACTTTGAACCGTATCTGTTTTTATTGTTGAGAAATTGGTTCTTATTGTTAAAATCAAAATACTACTTGTGTATATATTATTAATACTATAATTTTAGGAGGCAGAACGCTTAAGAGATGAAGTACTGAAATATGAAAAACAAATCACTGAATTACACAGTACTCATGCTAACCTTCAAGTAAGAGTTAAAGAATTGGAGGCTTTACTCGATTTACGTTCACAGTAAGGTTCAATTTTTCTTTTTAAAAAAACTGTTCACCCTCTAAAGACGACTGAAAGAACTGGAAATGTATGTAGAGGAAAAATCTGCGGAATTGAAAGAGTTAGCAGAGTTGAAATCAACTGTCTTTGTGAGTTTCTATTTGCATTCACGTTTATGTTGTAAGATGTTTTTTTTTTCAAAATGTTTTCTGTTTCATTAAATTGGCGTTTTTCTCCATCCATTAAAACTGGATTTATAAAGTCTTAACTATTTGACTCACCGAACCGGGGTGCTTTTTTATGAAGTAATTCTGTTGAGTTATAGATTTACTTGATTTGGCACTTAACGTTGAACATAGGGTAACAGATCCAAAATGTACTCCATTTATCTAGGTTTTGGCCGTTAGCATCAAAACGTCACTCATTATCTATTATAGAAAAATGTGTATGACTGTTAAATGCGAACCTTCATGTTATCGGCTATTCTTTTTACAACTTCTCAATTAAATCTTCTGCTTTTGACTTCATTCCATCGCATGTTTTGTTGGCTCTTTATCGTAATGTTACTGAAACTTGTATTAACTTAAAGTGATGTATTGGTGTTCCGGTTGTGTATGCAGTTATCTGTATTGTTGGTATTCTGACTCCCTCGTTGACTCAGTAATCAATCATACGTTGTATGTGGCTTAGTGACACCATCTGTTCGTGTGAACCTTGGTGTTTAGATCGATGAGGTATAACAGTCTAGCAGCATAGATACCAGTTTGTGCAGTTAACCTACTTTTTACTTTGAAAGATGCGGTTATGGCTGGAAGTGGACAGCGTTCTATGTTCCCTTTTCTCATTGTGTTTTCAGACGATCTTTTGAGTGTTTTCCTACCAGTGAAAAGGATGTTCCTGCAACAATGAAGATTCGACTGCGAGTTTCCCACACATAAGCATGGCGTTAGCATGCATTCGAAATTGGGGTCAGACAGACAGATGTTATCAACTTAGAATTTTTCATTACTGAATAGCACACCAAGTAACAAATATAAAAGAAGACGAAAAGCTGAATTAATCAGAATTCATGACATCACACAGCAAGGGGATAGGTACATACAGTAATGTTAGTGTAGGTGATGGCATTCTGCGTCAAGACGTGACTAGCTGTATATAACAGATGTCCCGTTTACTTTGGTCATTGAAGGTTTGCAACCTCATGAACTGACTTACTTTATGATATACCTATCTCCTACGTTGTGAAGTTGATATTTCCACTATTCTCTGTGTAGATTACGCAGGGAATATTAGTTAAGTGTCCGATGTTTTTTTAAAATTCTACTGCTTTCACAAGCTCTGACTTTCACTTATGTAGAAAAACGTACAGGACCTTGTGCAGTACAACCAACCTGTATTGGGACCTAGTCTGGCTTTCTAGTCAAAAAAAGATTTGTGTGTCAGCAGACTCATAATAATCTGGTAGCCTTTCCATTTTGTACATAGCCTGGTTCAAGTGTGTATCATAACAATAATTTTTATAGTCTTTACTGATATCAAGGTCTGTTTTGAAAATATCCTAATAAGAAAATCTACATTCTCTCGATTTTTCTCAACTGTGTAATTGTCATTATCCTGTTTTATTGCTTCAGAAATTAACTTCAGAGAAAACAGTTTTGGAGGAGCGACTTGCTGTTGAATCGAATCGAACCAAAATGCCGGAAGGCTATGATCGATTTGTAAGAGGTGCTGGTTATGTAGCAAAGTTGGAAATGGAACATGATCGAGTGAAAACAGCGTTTAAAACACTCAGTCAAGAACGTGCTAAATGGCTTATCACTGAAGAAGAAAATTCCGAATTACGTAATCAAATCGAGTTATTAAAGAAATGGCGTGAAAGAGCATTAATAGCTGAGAATTCTCTTCTTGAAAAAGAAACTTTAATGAATACTTTAGTGTCTAAAACCAATTCACCTGGATCAATTGATAGTTCTTCATCGCTTAAACTACGTAAATTAGAGCGTGAAAATGAGATATTACTTGCAGAACAAGGTGAACTCAGTGCAAAGTCAGTATACATGTGTAACTATAGTGTACACTAAATTTCTGTAGTTTTTTTTTGCATCAGAAGTATGCCTATAATGATTAGGCATACATATCTCATCACTCATTGTATAAGAGTTTTTAGAAACTACTTGCCAGTAATCTGTGTTTCTTGATAATTGTTCAATTGCTCAGACTCGCCTAGGTGGATATAGATTAGACACTCAGTTAGTAAGCGTTAGGTCATGAACAACATTTAATGTATATGGGTGCATGTTATTACCTGGTTTTCCAAACAGAAGTAGGTGTAGTAATGTTTAATCCTAAGACTCATTATTATATTATATGAAGCCCAGTAAGCATGGCAGTCAGCCATATATCCAGTTTAACACTAGCGGGGTTGGCTACGTGATGAAGGTGCTTGGAGTTCTAGTGAGAATTCGAAAACCGGTTGGGCCCGCCAAGTCAGGTGTAAGGAAAAATACTCGACTGCGCCATTGATGCCTGGTAGTCATGGACTATTGTATTTGATTCCAGCGGCTGAGAATGGTCTACGAGCTTGCTTTGTAACCGGAAAGTATTGGATTCAAACCCTTATGGTAACGCACTGTTAAAGAATCCCTAAACTAGAATGAGAAACGGCTGTCCAGTACTACCAGTTTCTCTAATGATTCTTTAATTACTATCAGCTCGTAATCAAAATTGACAAAAATATGCGATGGAATTCAGTTGACTGTTTCAAATTCTTTTCATGTACTAGTAACGAGTTGCACTAGCTGTGTACTCAGACCGAAATAAACTGGAGTGTTAACCTTGAATTCGGAACTAGTTTTTAAAAAGTCAGATGAATAAAAGCCTTATCAACACAAGGATTAGGATATTAACATTTTTAAAGGTGTAGGTCATTCTAACGTTCCATGTGGATTAAACTGAGGGCGTGATGGAATTGCCACTTCAGCAACGACCAAGTTAGTCGTACATATTTGGGCAAGATAGGTTGTTTAGTAAAGTGCCCACATGATACATGGTTAAGGACTCCTTCTAACCGACTGGTTGCTACCCAGGGAGATTGCCTTATTCAACCACAGTACTTCAACGCATACAACAGTTTGTGACTGACCACTCGAATAGTATTTCCACGCCGATAAGACACAGATGGCAAATTGAAAAGGCAGGATTTATTCTTCCAGGAAAAGGGTGAATAATCCGAAACTGTAGCTGTTTATGTATAGTTGTTTTACACAGCCTAATAACTTACAAGTTGGATGTATTCTAACTGATTGGCAGCGTACCAATAGCAATTCACTGACACAGGCTTTGATCTAGGTTGAGGAGGTATGTTTAGTCCCCAGCTTACTTATTATTATTTTATTATTCCCTTAGGTTCCGAGTGGAACATAAGGCTTCAACAACACATCTCAACATAATTGATATGATTATGAACAATAAATTTTGTTCAAAACGTCGTCCAGTAAATAATACTGTTTCACTGTGTGATACATCTAATAAACAAACTAATATGGAATTACATCTCCATTTTGTCCTATCTTCTGCCGTCCTCATCAGCTTGGACCACGATTGCCCGTAATCTCTCATCCCCTCCTCACAAGATATCTTCTATGTCACGCTCGCATTGACGACCCGCTCGTCGCTTCTCAAGGGGATTCCAGTTAAGCATTGGCCTGCGTTGCGCGCGATGTCATCCGACGGCCTCCTCAACACATGCCTGATTCATCTTTGTTTTCTCCTACATATTTGTTGAGTGATTGGCTCTTGGTTGGTTTGTCACCAGAATTTCTTGTTACTAATTCTTTCCGACCAGCCATTTGGTCTTCAGTATGGAGCCATCGAAGGCAGCTGTTGATAAATGTCCCCAGTAGCCTGTTGGAAATCCTTTTCGTCACAGGTAGTGCAAGTTTCTGACCCTTATAGAAGAATCGACTAGAAATTGGTGTTGAAAATCCGAGTCTTGTTGTTTTTGCTAAGTGAAGCAGAAGATTTCCAAACTGGTTTCAGGTTGATCAAGGAGTATCTTGCTTTTCCGACTGTGGTTGGCTTCGACGTCTTCATCAGTTCCCTTTGCCTGCGGTTGGAACGGTGCCTCCTGGATAAGTGAAGGAAGTAACCTCTGTCAAATCTCTCCCGTCGATGATGATTGGTGCTTGTCGTTGGTTGTCTTCATCACCTTCATTTTCTCTGTCTTCAGTCGAAGTCCTATCTTCGGTGCTTCTTCGGCCAGTTTTCTGGTTTTCGCGTGTAAGTCTTCGAATTTGCGTGACATTAAACATAAATCACCTGCAAAATCCAGATCTTCTAGGATCTTCTTATTGGAAATCCAGAGTGTTCCTGTTTCCTCGCTCCCCACCATCTGAAGCATAATCTCGTCCACCACAGTTAATAATGTCGTTAATGATAATAGGCAGTCAGCCTTGTTTTACTTCTATAATCATTTTGAACACCTCACTGATCTTACCGTTGTGGATCATCTAACACATGGCGTTGTCATATAGCTGTTCAATGAGGTTGATAAAGATTTAGGCACTGCACGCCGTAGTATTGAAGTAGTTTCCGAATTACTTCTCGGCCAACTCTATTGAAGACCTTTCCGAAGTTGATAAAGACCTCGAAAAGACCACAGGATACTTAGATGACACTAATTGTATGCATCTTTTCGCTTTGACAGTACTTTGTAGACATTTGAAACCTTCACTGTTTTTAAAGTATCTTTATAATATGTTACTCATGTTTAACCTATCTCTACTGTAATACACTACTAATTAACATCGAGTAGTTCAATCAATTTTTCAATTGACATTATCTTCAAGTGGATCTCGTTAGTCCATATTTTGCTGTCATCCATGTTTTATCAGTGAATTACACTCATTGCTTACTTGCAAGTAGTACATTTTTCTGTTCTTTATAATATTCATTTTGTTTATCACCTACATTATTTATTTATTTATTATTCAGAAATAAGGAGTTATTGAAAACGATAGAAGAAAAGCAAAGTAGTGAAGCTGATCTACAAAGTCAACTACAATCTATGTCTTATCAAATACAAGAATTCAAACAAATACAAACAAGAAGCAATCAAATTGTTCAACGTGTCGTTAAGGTTAGTATGTGTGTGTGTGTGTGAAGTCTCTTAATCTTATGAAGTTCTAATGCTAAACTGTTTAGCATGTGTACTATGACTTTTGGTTTCCGGGGTTTTGATTCTTTTCAGTTGAATTACAATTACAAACCGGGAAGCATTAATCAGTTGTTTAACTTTATCTTGTGGTTATTCAGCGGGGATAACCCACAGAGCTGTAGGTTATCGAAGACCAAAATCTTAAGGCTTGTTATTCCATGTCGACGTGGGTGAGTGATAATCAGAAAAAAAGGGTTATAGCTGAAGGATTGCTCGAAAAAATTGGTGCGTTTAATTCCATTCTGGTAATCTGCATTGTTAATTTGACCTTCTCCGTATAATTTATTTTTAGTAGGAGTCTCTTTTTCTGTGTTAACACATCACTATAGTTAAAAGTTCTGGGTTTAGAAGCTTTCTGTGTTACGCCATTGACATCTGTCATATTATTCAACCTCCTTTTCAAACATAGGGAGGATTTTGTTACCATTGCGATCGATTAATAGCAAGAATTAGGTGTAATAAACGGAACATAGCTTTAGAACATTAAATAACTCTAAGGTCAGCATACCGAAAACTAACATGAACTAGACAGTCAATTAGCTTTCAGAACTATATTCTGTTGATCAGAAAACAAAATCTACTACGTTGGTTATGCTCAAAGATAAGGGAAAGCTGTTCGGAAAATATAGTTAAGAATGATTTGAAATCTTTACACTACAGCTTATTATTGGAAAGTGGGTGTTCACTTAGATTTATTGAAAGGTGAGAGAGAACGAAGGTTGCAAATGCTTCTTGAAGAACTCCCTTCATGACCCTGGAGCTCAAAGTTCATATTTTAGTCGAAATTCTTAAAAGTAGTCTTACCAAGTGTCACGCAGATATTTTTAGAATCACATTTTCCAGCAGACAGTTAACCCAGATCATGCGTTTCTAGCCTTGTTAATATGTATTTATCAATTTGTTTGTTCATGTGGAGCAAAGTATATCGGCCGTGTACAATACCAAGTTTGTAAACATATTTTAGAACACTCTTTAGCTAGGCTAGTCAGAGGAGAAGATAAGCATGTCAATAGTTGTATTCTCGAGCATCTTGTCAACCCCTGTATGGTCCCTAATATCATACAAGAGAGTTTCGAATACGCTGATGGTACAGTCGAATTACACACTATTCGTGACCGTAGACAGGATTTCTGTGTTCATATGCACTACATACACTCACTGGCTGCCTTATTGTGGCTAGGATAATATTCTTGCCATAATTTTGTTTGAATTTTAGTTGTTACAATCATTATTTTTGTCATTATTTTGATTACTTTTATTTATTGTTAACACTGAGTTTTTTTCTACAAATCTCATTTGAACTCCAACATATTTCCATTGTATACACTTAAGTTGATTAAGTCATCCCTAGGCTGATTACGTAATACAAACTTCTGCTTCTTAATCTCCACTTGTGCATTCCGTCCTAGATTATTCTTCATAATTCGTAAAACATTTTCTAGAGTATAATTACCAGTGTATTTTTATTGGCTTCATGAATTTATCTGCTGAATGTAAGTGTGATTGTATATCTTTTGAAAGTGATTCATCGAACAGTAGGTGTAAATGTTAACTGTAGAAGACGAAAGACTTAGTAACGAAATGTTTATTTGCAATTTAGTATCTCTATATAGTGAAATTGCGTCGATGGCACAGTGGTTAGGACGCTCGCCGACCATGCACATGGTCCGGGGTTTGATCCCCGGCCGGTGCATTCCTTTACCTCTCTAAGCCAGTAGTGAAACTGGCAAAGAGGAAAGGTTGGACATGAGGTTAGCAACCCCATCCTGTAAAAATTAACACCGCTACAGAAACTTCAAGCCTCTAGCTTCTAGCCTCTAGCCCTGTGTTCCACTGGGGACGTGAAGGAAAAAAAATACAGCGAAATTATATACACCTTATCTTCAGTGCACCATTTGCACAGATCTTCTTTGTTGTGTTACTTCTGGCGCCATCATATTAAATTCCTTTGTGTTCCTTTCACGTCTGCCATGGATCTCCGCAACTCTATATCATTTGCTTTCTCTGATATCAAATTCATCTCCCCGCACTTTGATGTTTTTCAAACCGATGAACATCCCTTTATATATATATGCTGCTGATAAATCTTGTCAGTAGCACACGCTACTTAAGCATGTAAAGTCGTGCGAGATTATCTTGGTACGACTACGAATAAGACACTGTACCTGAAACTTCATTCGGTAAATGATACTGTTTCAGGATTTCATCATGAACTGAAATCGGTTGGAGGGCCATTGGAATACCTGGGAGTACTGGACAGCTGTTTCCTCCTCGTTTGGGACTCTTCATTGGTACGCACCCACTGAGGTTCGAGCTCAGCACCTTCTGGTTACAAGGTGAGCTCGTGGAACCGATTAGATAGGAATCCAATGATCCGTGAATCCTAACTTTGTTAAGTTGTGATGTAATATTACCCTCACCAATGTCTTCGATGAGCATTCCTTTCACCTTAACACGCAATCAGTGTAGAAGCCAGTTCACTACATCCTTCCCAATCTGTCTCCGACAACTTTTTTGTTATCTGATATATTCATATTTTCAAACATTAACTTCCTTGTTTTCAATTATTTTTTTTGTAATTTTTAAGGAATATAATTTATGCCAAAATCTATTGCAAAGTTATTCACAACACGAAAGTGATACATTCAATATACCATCAGAGTATTTAAAGTCAATGTCTAATTTAAAACAGTTATTTGAAGATTTCAATCGAAGTTATAAAGATTGTACAAATTGTCTAAATGATTTATCAAAGTTAACAGAAAAAGGGAAGAATGGGAAATCCAACGTAAGTGATTTGTGCATACATATAATATAAATAGTGAATACTGCTTGACTTAGATAACATCCTTCTTGACACTTGTCATGATGCGATATGTATAGCTTCAGGGCAATTGATTTCAGTAGCACGTACCTGCTGTTCGGTACTGAAAAGTTATCACTAGGGTTATTACTATTATTATTATTATTACCGAAACACATGCTTGGTAGATTATGGCCTCCAAGAGATGTGTGAGGGCTGGAATACTACTTGGACACTCAAATCGAAGCAGGTGGTAGTCTTAACGAGCCCCCTGAGCCTTTGACTTATTCATAAGCTGGCTAGTGGAGCAGTGTCAGAAGCTATGTCCCCATGGTTTCCGATGACCAAAATAGGTTCATTTTTTTCGGATTCTGGAGCATATGTACACTATAGGTTTGGAATCAGGGTTTGCTAGCTCCTCTAGGTGTAGCTGCATGTACACCAGTCCGGCTGTAAGTCACAGACTTCAGGATTCGCCATTTCGCTTTTGTGAGGAACACCCGTCCGTACTGTGTTAAAGTAGTGAATAGGATTTATCTGTTTGGTACAGGCTTTGTATGCGTGGCCACGTGTGCTCATTTTGAGAGTAGGGTCGAAGTCTACTCACCCTCGGCTGTACCACTTATTTGAAGCTCTGCTCGATTTGTGTAACACTGGATTAAATATATTGATCGAGGTCTTGTACATGTATCTTACACGTTCAGTCCCATGTGTTTGCATGTGTGTTGTATCTGGAAAATTAAAATTCTGCGTTTTTTTATATCTCAAGTGTGTGATTCATGACTAAACATGTTGATAATATCTCGATTGTTGAGGGTCAATATCTACCCATAAGAAATAATGATCACAGAGAAGATGAGTCTATTACTTTACCAGGGAAAACGGTCAGGTTATTAGGCAGAAAGATTTTTCGAAGCGTAGGTGGTTTAGCGGAATTATTAACATATGAGAACAAAGTATGCAAAAGTTAACCTTATTTATTACTTATTGTTTGGTGTTTTCATTCATACTGTCTATGGACACAAGTGTTTAAGGTAGGCGAAGTTGTTGATATCATTTGATTCATTGAAGTGTAGCCTGTTGAGAGAAATTGAAAACCTGCATGACCTGTTACGTTGTTGGTGAGTGTGCATTACAATAGGTCACTATTAAGTTAAATGTAAATTGCATTTCACTGTTTCCATTGGATAGCCTGAGGAATTTTTGCAGACGAAGTTTTTAGAGTCAGTATTACAGTTATTCAAAGTATAAATTTTAACCTGTCTGGTTGATTTGTTTATGGATTCTGTTCTCAACATAATTGTGTGTTCCACTTTCTGATACAGTTGCATGCTGCTGGCTTGTGTGTATTGGTCGGTTATAATAAGTGCTTATATACTGTGAGAGCAGTGGAATTTCGAGTAAATGCGCTTGTGTCATATTTATTTTTTTATTTTTTATTACAGCTTGATTCCACACTGTATTTTGGTACAAGTATGGAATTTTCAGCATGGATATCGGTAGCCCAAATTTTGCAGGTCGACCATAGATATCAGGTGTGCATCGGCAGGGGATCGAACCTCGGACCATGTGCATGGTCGGTGAGAATCCTAACCACTGTGCCACCGACGCACTGACTAATTGAGTTTCAACACATAACTTTGCACAGAAGTACATCAGTTCGAGTTGCCACAATCCGTGTAGCACACAAAGGTAAACAAATGAGAGCAAAAGATTTCAGAGGACTCTAACAAACAGAAGTGTGTGGAAGAAAGAACAGTTATGTGGGAAAAAAACATGAAAGTTTAGTAGAAATGGCAGATTACAGAGAGTGAACACATCTGTGCCACTGAGAACATTTCTTAGCCATATCACCAATTGTCTCCGGTTATTAGTTCTTAATATCTCAAAGACCCCAGCCGCAGGTAGCTTATACCCCCCTACATGGTTCAAAACAACTATCAAAGTCTTCGTGAATTGACCCTGGGTTTTAGTTTGACCATTTTCCAACCTAATTCTATGTCGGTTAACATCGCTTGTCGGGAAAAGCGATGGCTCGAAGTGAGCAAGATGTGTCTTGGTCATCCCAATAGATGTAACTTCGCAACCTCATCGATTGATTTATCCTCCTTACGTAAGAATATACGCCTAGCCTCAATATTACTAGCATATTATGTCAGTTTACATGGGAGATATAGCACAAATATCTTTGGTCAAAGACAGCTGGCCTCTTCATATCTTCATTATGGATAAGATTTTATTTTGATAAATCACACAGTGTTGTACAGTAATATTAACTGTTAATATTACTGCACAACACTGTGTGATTTATCAAAATAAAATCTTATCCATAATGGAATTATACTCTACCACAGTGCCCAAGTCTTATACTTATATCAACTCTTCATATCTTCCACAGCCATAAAGGAGGACAGAGCAAACTGCCGCTCACTTAACGCGTCCTTTGGTCAATAGCTGGATATCACGTCTGCGTCATAGGATGACGTATTTTGACAACTGTCACATGAGTGTTTTAAATCTGCTCTGAGATTTCATCAATAATCAGTCCAAAGGGGCTAATGCAGCTTCTCAAATAAGCAAAGTATTCAACTTACTCAAGCACTTCATCTTCCTATTTTTAAACTAGGAATCGGTGTAGACCATCTTCATATAAATCGTACAACTAAGGCAGTGATTATTTTTTATTGGACAGGGATCCATTGGTCATCATGTCAAACATCAGACCATTTTCCACTTGATGCATACTAAAGAACTCCATTTCTATCGAGTTTTAAGCACAGTATTAGGGCATCTGTTTATGGGGTTTCCGCACCAAAGTGGATCAGTTCAATTCAATCCAGTAAAGAGCAACAACAAGAAATTACAAGTGCACACTATTTCTACATTTTCTTGTACTTTCTGTCTCATATGCATGTGTTCCGCACAGTATTAGTTACATTCTCAATTCGTTTTTTTAAAATTGTAGTATGGTGATTCAGTCAGTAATGTTTCATCATCAGTTCATTCAATACATGAAGATGATAGGGACCATGTGCATGGTCGGTGAGAATCCTAACCACTGTGCCACCGACGCACTGACTAATTGAGTTTCAACACATAACTTTGCACAGAAGTACATCAGTTCGAGTTGCCACAATCCGTGTAGCACACAAAGGTAAACAAATGAGAGCAAAAGATTTCAGAGGACTCTAACAAACAGAAGTGTGTGGAAGAAAGAACAGTTATGTGGGAAAAAAACATGAAAGTTTAGTAGAAATGGCAGATTACAGAGAGTGAACACATCTGTGCCACTGAGAACATTTCTTAGCCATATCACCAATTGTCTCCGGTTATTAGTTCTTAATATCTCAAAGACCCCAGCCGCAGGTAGCTTATACCCCCCTACATGGTTCAAAACAACTATCAAAGTCTTCGTGAATTGACCCTGGGTTTTAGTTTGACCATTTTCCAACCTAATTCTATGTCGGTTAACATCGCTTGTCGGGAAAAGCGATGGCTCGAAGTGAGCAAGATGTGTCTTGGTCATCCCAATAGATGTAACTTCGCAACCTCATCGATTGATTTATCCTCCTTACGTAAGAATATACGCCTAGCCTCAATATTACTAGCATATTATGTCAGTTTACATGGGAGATATAGCACAAATATCTTTGGTCAAAGACAGCTGGCCTCTTCATATCTTCATTATGGATAAGATTTTATTTTGATAAATCACACAGTGTTGTACAGTAATATTAACTGTTAATATTACTGCACAACACTGTGTGATTTATCAAAATAAAATCTTATCCATAATGGAATTATACTCTACCACAGTGCCCAAGTCTTATACTTATATCAACTCTTCATATCTTCCACAGCCATAAAGGAGGACAGAGCAAACTGCCGCTCACTTAACGCGTCTTTTGGTCAATAGCTGGATATCACGTCTGCGTCATAGGATGACGTATTTTGACAACTGTCACATGAGTGTTTTAAATCTGCTCTGAGATTTCATCAATAATCAGTCCAAAGGGGCTAATGCAGCTTCTCAAATAAGCAAAGTATTCAACTTACTCAAGCACTTCATCTTCCTATTTTTAAACTAGGAATCGGTGTAGACCATCTTCATATAAATCGTACAACTAAGGCAGTGATTATTTTTTATTGGACAGGGATCCATTGGTCATCATGTCAAACATCAGACCATTTTCCACTTGATGCATACTAAAGAACTCCATTTCTATCGAGTTTTAAGCACAGTATTAGGGCATCTGTTTATGGGGTTTCCGCACCAAAGTGGATCAGTTCAATTCAATCCAGTAAAGAGCAACAACAAGAAATTACAAGTGCACACTATTTCTACATTTTCTTGTACTTTCTGTCTCATATGCATGTGTTCCGCACAGTATTAGTTACATTCTCAATTCGTTTTTTTAAAATTGTAGTATGGTGATTCAGTCAGTAATGTTTCATCATCAGTTCATTCAATACATGAAGATGATAGGGACTTGGTCGGAAAATTACGGTTAGTTTCTTTCTTTCTCTCCGATTTACTTATGATTATGTATTCTAATCGTTTTGCTAACATTTGAATCGTTTGTCAGTTGAAAGGCTTTTTACAGCATAGGATAGAATCTGTAGTGGTCATTGCTAGTTAGTTAGTTGCTTATGACTGTTATGGGTAGCAATTTACTCATATGAAAGACTGTAAACCATACGTATTGTATCAGGGCCGGTGATGCTACTCATTTGCCTTGACTGAAGTAAGTGAAGCAGGTTCCCACCCAAAGATTCATTGTTTTGAGCTAACCAGCCACATTCCACCAACCATAAAATTCCACCTCACGTGGTTGCTTTGCTGACTGACTCCCCACTGATTAAAATTTCAAATTGATGGTTCAGACGGTAGCTCTTTATAAAAACCGTCTCGTTGATTCTGGGTGCCAGGACAGTATCTCAGACTTCACAGGAAATATAATTTTATGTGGGTGGGTACGTCCGGTGGGTGCGTACTGATGAAGAGTCCCAAACCGGGACGAAACAGATGTCCAGTACTCCCAGGTTTTCCAATGGTTCTCTAACCAATGTCAGCTCATGATGAAATCCTGCAACCAATCAAATCACTACAAACCAACACTTGAATAATTTTATGTGTTGCATTTTATGATGCTCTTGGTGTGCCAGCGTCATGTCCGAATAGTAACAGTAACTACCACTTAATTCTTGCCTGTAAATAGATCCTTTACTCTCTGGCAAGTTAACATTACTCCTTCATCTAACAGAGAATTTTGAAAATACCGTAAGGGACTGAGTCAATGCTTCAGATCGGACAGTATTGCGTCACGTGACGTGATCTACTGTAAATTGCCTTTTTTACCTGGAGATCCTGAATAAACACAGAATAAATATGCAATAAATTACTGTAAGAGTTCTGTACTTTGTGTGAACACTTTGTCCAGAATAAAGCTATTATTATTATCATTACTATTATGATAAATAAACTTATCTAGTGGAGAACTATATCCTCATATAGGCATTTAGAAAAAACAGCCAATTGAGCGAAGAAATATATTCGTTTACAGTTAGTTCCTCGTCGTCGACTTTACACTAATATACATTAAAAAAAAATTAAAATCTCATCAATCAGGTGGTTATTTTAGTTCATTAGTTTTAGGTACAGATAGGGGGGGGGGATGAAAATTAAGAGGTTAAAAGTCATCAAAACAATTAGTTAGTCAATGGTATTTAAAAGATATCTAATTTCTGAAGGAGGGGTGGGAATCAATTACGGAATCCCAGATAAGTTGATTCTTAGAGGTTAGCAACAAATTATTACATATAATCAAGGAATCTGTAAAATAATGATGACTAAGTAAAATAGGATGACTCAGTGAAATTACGTAAAATACAAACAAATTAATAGTATCAGCTAGAATTGTGAAAAAAAATAACAAAGTCAAAATATAGTTTCAAGAGGAGGGGTAGAATCGTTTCTAAAAACTTAATACATATTATGTAGTTGGTCATGGCAAAGGATCGGGCTGTACAAATTTCTTTCGAACACACAGATTTGATTTGTTCAGATGAATTCCGATTGCCTCTGCTGTATGTAAAAGTCGTACTCGTAGACCACTTGGCGAGACTTCGGGGGATATACGATAACTGACTTACTTTAAAAGCTTTGTTAGAGTCGACTTGATGTCCAGTCAGTATTGACGAGATGAGCTAGTAATGAACTGCGTGTAGCAGATTGGAGGTGTTCAGAAATTGGACGATGAACTTGCCTGAGCGCACGCCCGATGTAACTAGCTTCGTATCAACAGTTAAATTGGCAAATATACTTGGAAGAGGTGAAACAGGGCAGTTTGTCTTTATTTCTTGAACTGAGGACTAGTTAACTAGTGAATATACAGCACAGCTTAGTTGCGTTGAAAGTCCTTTTGAAGGCCTTTCTCAGACGTTATGGTAAGATCTCATTATTGACACCGCTCGTGAATTGTAATCGTAGGAAGACTGATTTTTTGGGAACAGTCGGTACCTTTGACTTTTTTACTTTCAGAGTTCACGTGTTTGTTCAAGAATATAGTCGGATATCTGTTTCTGCTAAGTGGATCACGAATATCATCGAGTTCTTCGTTCACTGCCTCATTTGAGCAGATAACTCTAGCCCGGTGAACCAGACATCTAACCAGATTACGTTTGCATTGTAGGGGTTCGAAACTCAGGAAGTGAGTTTACTGTCCAGTGGAAGTAGGTTTTCTATGCAAACGTTTACATAATTGTTCCGTCCGTTCGTTTAGTCATTAGGATGTCCCAAAAGGAGATAGAGTTATTTTCTTCAACCCCTTTAGTGAAGCTTATGCTAGTATGTGCTTCATTGAATTTACCCAATATGTCCTTCATCTCACTTTCTTTCTTCACAACTATAAATGTATCATCGACATGGGAATCAAAATTATATATTAAGTCTTTAAGAATGCCATTCTGTAGTTTTACTAGGGAAAAATTTTCTAGGACTGGGCCTAGTGGTAATCCCATGGTAACACCATCTGATTGTCTATACATTTCTCTATTATTAAACAGAAATTTCACGTTCCTTGTACACCTTTAGGGAAAACACAGGAATTCCAGCCTCTATACCTTGCTTTATCAATCAACTGTTCTCACCAAATACATGTTGGTGAATAAGCAAGATGCGTCTAGTGATATCATGTATTTATCCTTCAAAATTATCTTTTACGCTATTTTTCACAAGTTTTGTATGCAACGGCTGTAGAAGTTCCAGCAGCCATTTAGCAGTTGAATGGTATGGTGAGCTAGACAAATCGAGGACTGGTCTTAAGTGGCAAGCTGTATAACATGGATGTCATAGCGCCGACAGGTTTTAGTGTTCCGTATATTGATGGGAAAAGCTACATATTAGTATGGTGAGAGCTGGCTGTTAGTCAAAATTGGTGGACAGTAATTTACGTCAATGTTTATGTCTCCAATATCGACTGTGAGAAAAATGAGAACAAAGGGCTTTGTGTAGGCGGATACAGTTAACATATAAGTGATCTGACATTTAAGAAACAGTCACAAAGAGATGCAAGGTTATCTTTCTGTGAGAAACAACTAATCAGAAGACTGTTTGTCTGCTAACAATAATCTATAACATGTACATCAAAATCTACAAATATGTGTTGATTTCCTTAATAAGGATGTGTTGCCTGGCCCTTGTCTTCTGTTGTTACATTAGGATAGAGCCCCATGTTGAGGAACTAATTGAAAAGAAATATATTTTTTCCCCTCAATTTGTTTTTTTCTGTAAGTCATATTCTACCACAGTGGCTAAATTTCACTCTTACATTAACACATGCACACACACACACACTTGTATATACAAATGTTGCCGGTATACTTTTAAAGTTATAGCATCATATTTATAATTGTTCATGCTTTTCATTGTTGGTTTGCTTTTCAGGCAACAGATATCTGAATTAGAAGAGAAAATTGAAAAATTGCAGACTACAAATGCTGAATTACTTGATAAACTGGATGTATATCATATGCAGGTAATGGATTTGATGAGACGGCGGATGACTTTTAAAATGAGCTAAATAACTATTTGACACAAGTTGCTGCTGCACAACTGGTTTGATAACTAAGCAGAGAATTGTTTTGATTTTCTGTTTTATTCCTTTACGTTCCTAGTGGAACATATTGTGGGCTGTGGGCTACAAGGCAGAGCTTTCAAGTCTTGGTAGCAGTGGTTTTATTTTTACTGTGTGAGGTTGTTAGCCTTGTGCCCAATCTTCCTTTTTTTATCGGCCTAGCTAGTGAGGTTTAGGAGTGTGTCCACGGAGGATTGAACTTCAGACTGTGTGGAGCTTGATTGGCGAGCATTCTACTGCTAAACCACAGATGCGCTGTTTATCAACATGCTGGTTCCTTAATCCTCTACAGAATTTGAATCTTGTGGATCTGATGCTCTATATATTGCGCAAATTTGTGGCCTGTTGATGACTCAGACAATGGGGCGACTCAAATACCAATTCAGAGCGTCTTACATTTGGTTGATATACCCTGTTTGTTGTGTGGTCTAATGTAAGGTAATTGTTAGAGTACGGACTATTTCAGTTTTACTGTCTCGTGAAAACTTAACTGAATATTTTAAATGATAAATTTTCCAATTTATTCAACAGAGATACATCAAGAAGAATGTCAAGCTATATGAGACACTTGTAAGGGAGAGGTGTAGATGGATTCCAGAAGAGTTTTAGTTATAATCTACGACTTGTTTTATAGAGAATTATGGAGAAATGGAAATGCACACAGGCCAGATATATCTTTGTATTTTAATGAACTCTAATTATAACAATTAATAACGTATTCACTATCAGATTTGAGATCTAAATAAGTTTGTGGATGTTCAATTCTAAACATTTCAGAAGTTTCACTTCCACTATCAAATTATACTGGATGAAACACTTTTCTACATCATATGACCGGAAAACTAGATAGTACCGTACACCTTTACATGTTAATTGCTGTTCATTGTCAAGTTCATGAGTGTAGTTACTAGACTTCATTTAGTCGCGGATCGCTATCAGTATGAGATAATTGTTTTCGTACTAGTCTATAACTTTTACTCACGAGTTTGTACATACAACTTTTTGATGATATTAGATGGTTTGAGGTAATCGGCAGGAAGTCTTGGACCTAGGTAATGCTGTAATCAAAAAAAAATAAGTAAATAAATAAAATAGGTTTCGTGCTATTTGGCACTCGTCTAATATCATTGAATCAATGTGCACCGTGATGGCGAGCTACCTAGAATGGGGGCCACATTGTGAATCTTACTGATAGAATTAGTCTGCACCAAAGAAAGGACTAGACACATCACACTAGTTACTAGTGTCCAATCAAAGTATACAACTGTTTATTCAACAGTTTATCTATTCATTGTAATTTTCTTCACAAACCAACATCATTTAGCGAGTTCATTGAAAACCAGGGGGCACTGGACAGGTGTTTCACCCCATTGTGGGACTCTTTATCATTACCGATGGAAATTAATCTGAATTCCTACGAAAAACCATATTCGGAATATCAGTGTGTACCTTATTGACGGCTACTGGATGAATGTCCTGAAGCTGTATGAAGAAGTCGTGACTAGTGGGGTCTACCACCATGTCAAGGTGAAGTGGTGGATGGTCATCTAAAGCATTGGTTCAGAGTGGCGTTACATCACGAATTCTCGCATCATTCTGTCTGAATCGTCAACGAACTTGGATTTGTAGCGTGAAGGTCTCTGGTCCGATCCCTGGTAGAGTTGTGGTTGCTCACTGTTGAAAGGTCCGAAACTGAGACATTCAGAACTTCAGTGTTCCGAAGTAGTTTCCAATGAGATCGCTGGCTGATGTTGGTTTGTGACTAAATCTGCTTTGAAATTCACCCGGATCACTTTGACATATTCTTTCTTAGGGCGTGTGTGATACAAGAACTACTAGAATATTAACTTATAAACATAATCCTGCGGCAATCTTCAAACAGAATTTATCAAAGGAATTAAGTGAACTTCGTTTGCTAACAGAGCGTCAACGTCAACGGATTCAAGTAAGCGATATAAGTGGTTTTTGTTCATTGAACACAAAATTAGTTCAATATCAGTAAATATACTTGTTGGTTATTGATATGAGTGGTTAAACTGTTGACTGCTCAGTTAGTGGTAGTGTGTTTTATTCACATCTCTTTTGCTTATTTATTTTGTTTATTACTTTGCTTGCGAGGTATTCAGCTATGTGTTTCCTTTATTTCATGAACTTTAGTCACAAAGCTCATATTTCTTAAATGTTGGTTTCCGGGGTCTTGATTGGTTACAGGTTTTTGGTTGCGAGCCGACATCATTTAGATAACCACTGTAAAACTAAGGTGTGCTGAACAGCTGTTTCTTCTTGGTGTGGGTGGGACACTTCAGCAGTATTCCCTCTCAGGAGTTTAAGTCAGTGACCTTCAGGTTCCAAGGCGAGCTCGTAGACCGTTCAGCCACTGAGATCCGACCCGTTTTCCTGTGAACTCCAGCTTTTGGAATCCTAGTGAGTTATGATCAGCGGGATCCACAGAGTCTGATTAGATAGGATAGTTACTGAAGGACGATATTGGCTAGTGGTTGTTCCATACAAATGGCGAATAGACAGAAGTTGGAATTCATGGACTATTGGGTCGAGTCCCAGTGGCTGAATCGTCTAACAGGCCACCTTGTAGCCGAAAGTTCCCGGGTTCCAACTCCAGTGGGTGTGTACTAATAAAGGGTCCCAAACAAGGATACAATAACCACTCGGTACTCCTAGGTTTGTATTTGTCTACACAGGTTCAACCAACAATTGGCAGCCGTTCGTTTTTATCCAGTCTTTTATTTATATCTAACTGCAACTTGGTTATTTCATATGTTTAAATTGTTGCTTCGTTTATCTTAGCTTAATCAACCCAATGGTAACACTTCGCTTGTACTTTCTTTTGCCTAGTACGTTAAAAGCTAGTCCTGGATAAGTGAATACATTTCTAGTACCATTACAATGAAATCTGTATTCTGTATGTCATATGAAACTTCTTGTGATTATGAGTATAATGACCATCATTTCTCCATCCTAGTCATTTGTTCTCATGTTGATGTGTTGATTCTACTGTAATGGTAACTTCAATCAAATTTGTAATTAGCAAATTAGTTTGCAGTTTACAATTCTCATAGTTCGAGGAGGTAGAATCCCACCACAGTTTCATTTGGAAACCTGAATTCTTGATCAAATCACAAGATGCAGAACACTGATTGATTGATATGGGTAGTTGGACACCACTCATATCAGCCAGATGGAAGTGGTCTAAACACCGGGTGACTTGTTTTGAGTTGAATTTATCAGCAATCTACCCACTTTAATTCAGCTCAGCTAGAAAGCACCACTGAATTAATGAATGGCGCCCAACTACTGATATCAGTTAATCAGTACTATGTAGCGTAATGATAATTTGACATGTTCACAGTTGTACTTATAATTGTCTGTTTGTATTGACAGCTTGTTCTATTAGTGAATCTTATACATTTTTGAAGTTAATCCTAAAGCGACCGATAGCTACTACCTTGACGTGGTGATCGGGCTTGCACATCGCGATGACCCAACAAGCTACACTGACTGTAACTATTGTTCCTGCAGGTCCTACCATGTCAGGAAGGTTGTTACGATAGCGATTAGACTAAAAGCAGTTACCGGCATTGTGTAAGAATTTCTTTTACACTATCCTGAGGGTCTGTGGGCGAAGTTGTACTGCTGGAGAACAGGGATGTTACAGTAGTAAGGTGTTTACCTCAGATGACCAGCATGCCAGCTATGCTGTCTCTCCACTCCGGAGAGAAGGGGTTAGAAAAGGTCGACTCCTAAAATTGTACATCCCGACTTACCCTACGGTGGTCCGTAGCCGGCAGCAAAGTTAATAATACGGAACCAAACTAGAAATCAGTTGAGACAGGCCGTGTGTGACCGGCCTCAAGCAGCTACGGTGACGCAACACTAACCCTCTCTCTGTTTCAGGTACCCGAAGAATCAATCAGCTTCCACGGTGTGGGCAGCCGGGAAGTGACAACCGCCCACACATTTCCAAGAGCACAAGAAGCCTTCTTGAGCATCATTCTCATCTACCCACATCACCTTCATCATCTTATTCCCCTACTATAGTTAGTACTATTCTTCAGGTTAGTGAGGCACCTTCACTTCATTCTGCGACCACAATAATCCTAAAGCATGGCGTTTAACTAATCACTTTACTTATTCCGTTAGAAAGTGAGGATACATATGCTTCAGTTACTTCTAACTTGAAATTATTCATATTCCTGCAGAACAACACTTGTGAATTACCTCTGAATAAATTAATATATTTTTTTTTTTGATTTACAGCTTGATTCCACACTGTATTTTTGGTACAAGTATGGAATTTTCAGCATGGATATCGGTAGCCCAAATTTTGCAGGCCGACCATAGATATCAGGTGTGCGCCGGCGTGGGCTCGAACCCCGGACCATGTGCATGGTCGGCGAGAGTCCTAACCACTGTGCCACCGACGACATCAGTTCTCTTGAAATTGAAGGGTTCATATCTTTAATCATAGATTAAATAAACTCGGATGAAAGCAATGCTAATATTTCATGTTTAAATCTGCCATTCTGTATTATTGATATTCCTATCTGCTGTGTACAACTAAAAATGCTCGGACTTTTGTTCCACTTTAGTGAGCTACTATTTTTCCTTTTTCTCCTGTCTGTGTAACTTCACCTTTTGTATACTTGGCATTTTCATACTCTTCTGTCTATGTGATAGTCAAAATAACTCTAGGATCATCTTTTATTGATATTGATCAAGTTTAGTGCTTGTTTACAGGTTCTAGAAGAACGCATTGTTCACTTAACCCAAAATCGAGATCAGCAAAAAGGGGATACCGATCTTACAATGGATTTAGATGTTACAAATGTTGTTGAAAGTCGATTACGTTCAAATCCTGATCCATTAACTGAACTTGCAGGTAGGCTGATTAGTTCCTGTGACTATTCTATCTTTATAAAATTATTAATGGTGCTGGTTTTCTTCTGAACGGTATTACTCTATACAGTCTGGAGCTTTCAGCATAATGTGTGTATATTTAAGTTAACTGTTTCGTTGGATAAATCGAAATATTTTTATAGTCTTAAGTGATGGTCGGGGGTGGGTGCCTTGCGCTGCGGGTTGGCCACCCCTCCGCACACCTCTTGAAATGCTCCCATATGACCGGGCGTCTTACATAGCCTCTCCTGAGGAAGTCCTACTCACTGCCTTCACGTGGCGGAGGTGTTTCTCACCAAAGTGAGAGGGCGAAAGCGGATGCCCGGCGCTCTCCACCGGGTTGACTGTCCATTGGATGACGGTCTAGGGGAGATGGCTAAACCCTGATTCCAAACCTCCAACGACTGGCGTATGAAGCTCACTGGAGCTCACCGGCAGACGTATGGACAAAGGGCTTGTTGGATGTCCTGGATGTCTGGCCCCATTCAAAAAGGCGTATGAACCGAACTCCGGTCACCGGCTGCCAATGGATAGTGGACTCCTTACTCCACTCCTACTGCCTTGTAGGTCACACTTGGCTGTGTAAAGGCTAGAGCTGCACTCTCAAACAAAAGGCCGAGCGATCCTGGGGACATCACTCGTACCAAATTCCCATGAAACTTCATGAACTCTCTTACAAATTGCCGCGCCTGGGCAGCGATGATTCGAGACGTTCATGAAGCCGGCTCATCCTTCCGTAGGAGATAGCCGAAGTAAAGTAAGTAAGTAAGTTTGCATTCTATCAGTGATACAGTTGTTCACCATCAAGTTCTTTTTCTTCGTATTCTTAAAATTGTTTTGCATAAATTTATAATCTTTTGGTGTATGTTTCACTTGTTAGACACTTTCTATGTATTTTATGGAGCTTCTCTTTCTTTCCCCTCATCTCTGTTTGGGTCTCCTCTGATGAATCAGTTTATTGAATGTCATTTATTGTTACTGTTTGTTATGCATGCCTGTTGATTAGACTCATTTGTTTCTGTATTGAGCTTACAGATTTTACCATTTTATTCTCCACAATACTCTAATTACTAAAGTTTTCATTAAGCCATTCAGTAATGAAAAAAAACACTAACTTGGTACTTTATGAGCACCAAGAGATGCACCACACAAAATCTTGTATAGTTAGTGCGTGGGCTATTTATTTTTATTTATTTGTTTAAACACAGAGAAATCTTGGTACAGTATGGTACCAAGAAAGATGCACCACACAATAATAATAAAACAACATAGATAAAAAAAAGAAAAATATAAGTAGAGAATGGACAAAGCACTTCACCTGGAAGGAAAACAGTCATACTTAACAAGTTCAAACAGTATTCGTTAACTATCATCGGGAAGGGAAGAAAGAAGGAAATTGCAACACGTTCGCCATTGATTACGATCCTTAGTCATATCCGATAACGTTTCGAGCCATCGATTCGAGCTATCTCTCGGACCCCAACCAGGGAGTCGTGATACACCAAACGATGCTAATCTAGCACAAAAATCCTTCATCCCACGACGCCACGTCATGGACTGACCACCTCTCCGTCTTTTCCATCCCATCCCAGGGCTAGCGAACAGAGACCTGTACGGAAGAAAGCCTCTGGGATGACATTCGCTGCACATGTCCAAGCCACCGGAACCGGTGTTTCCAGATGACGACACTCAATGAATGGTGATCTCCACTGTGTTCAAACACACGCCGCCGAACCTCAGAATTACTCACGCGATGATTCCATCGAACGCAAGCAATCCTGCGGAGACAGCGATGATCGAACACGCAGAGTTGCCGCACATCCTCAGCTCGGAGAGGCCAGGTTTCACAGGCGCAGAGAAAGACAGCCCGTACTGAAGCATTGTACGTGGGCTGGGATACTCTCTTTGGGTGCGCAGACTCAGGGGGCCACCACAGGAGCCTTTGACTTGAAGTCTGATCCACAAGCCAGTGGAGGAACGTCAGGAATTTCACTTCTATGGTTTCTGATGACCGAAACAGGTTCATATGCCATTCAATCCTTTCGGATTCTGGAGCTGATGTCCACCATTGGTTTGGAATCAGTTTTCCGAATCCTATAGATTAGCGTATTTGTTCACCGGAAGGTTTGTAACCGCAAGACGTTCATATTCACTTTCGTAAGGAAAACCTTCAGCTGTAAGAAGGCAGGGAACAGGACTTACCTGGCTGGCAAGGCTGGGTGCTTGGTTACATGTGAGCATGTGGAGAAGACCGAAATACGCTCAACCCCTCGGCTGCACAAGGTCGTGTATAAGGGCCATAATATTTATTTTGTATTGTGCATATTTTAGATAATTTTGTCACGTCCGATGTAATGTAGTCTTACCACTGTTTTACTTTTATTGATGACTGCCTTCAATACCAGAGGGAAAGTGTAGTTATATTTTATAATGTTTACGACAGAGAGGCTGATGATAATTGCTCTTCTGTATAAGCTCACTTTAGTGACTTCCTGCTAGTGGTTAGTACTTTCTGACTCAATAAATATGGAAGAAGTAGTTGTGATATAGGTGGGATATACTATTAAATGACTTTAATGATATTCAAACAACTGTTTGAGATCTTTCTAGGAAAAACTATCGTGCTATGGTAATAACAGCTAACTGCATCGATGATGACTTCACTTGGTTCCATAGCCTAACTAGAGCACAGGGATGACATAATTATGTAGGCCGAGTGCTCAAGCCGGTGAATAATACTTCCAGCCGCATAAAGCATATTAAAAATTCTATTTCTCTGTTTGTTTGTTTCTTTTTTGTTTCAGAGACGAAAGAACAACTTCGTGTAGAACGTTTACGCGGTGATCGATTAATGGAATTATTCGATAAAGCCAAAGCCAAGTATCGTGCTTCCTGTCGTGATCTGTTAGGATATCGGATTAATATTCAGTCGTGTGGAGATTGTCAAGTGTGTCCGGTTTTTTCAGTTAGCGAAGAAGATAACTTATACTTTAAGGTAAGTAGTTATGTTTCTTTTTGAAATTTCTTACATTCTGAATGAAACATAGCGCTTCCAGTTTTGAAATTTCAGTAGCCATTGTATTGTGCTTTACAAGCTGAATTACTAGCTTCACACCAAACCTTCCCTATTATCCAGATTTATTGTCGGTTAGTTAACTAGGCTATATTTAGGAGTACATCGTCTGGATATGGAACCCGGACGACCTATGTAGCTGACAAACATTGTATCAGTTAGCCACAGAGGCATCTGTACTTAGTCGCAATAGTTTAATTACCTTCCAGTTGTTTTTATTTCCTTATAACAGATGCATAATGATATGTGCTTGAATTTATGAGAATTTTAGTTCGATTTCAGTGATAGACCTTAAAGTAAACCGAATTCTACCTAAAAGCCATTAAATGGTAGATAAATATTGCCCTCGAAGTGAGGATGGGAGTGAGGTGGCAAGGCTGTCTACTATCGCCAATGATCTTCCTGATTGGAGTAGATTGGATAGTGCGATAGACAGAGGGAAGCGATGAAACAGGCATAAAATGGACTCACACAATAAACTTGGAGGATTTGGACTTCGCCGATGATATATGCCTGATTTCCCACAAACTGGAAGATATGCAAGTGAAAAGCAACAAGCTGGCAGAAGAAGCATTAAAGATAGGACCTCAAGTGGACATAGATGAAACAGAGGTGATGAAGATTCCTGGCCAACATCAACAGCAACAACAACAGACAACAATCAGCCAGCATGAATGGGAGAAACCTGCAAGAAACAACCTCCTTTACCTACCCACCTACCTACCTGGGAAGCATCGTTTCAACTACAGGCGGAACTGGCGAGGATATCAAAGCCAGAACTGGAAAAGCAAGACAAGCTTTAATTACTCTTAAGTCTGTGTGGAGGTCAACATCACTCATCATCAAAAATAAGATCCGGATTTTCAACTCCAATGTGAAGTCAGTGCTACTCAACATACGGACCAGAGACTTGGCGCGTCATAAAGAGCATCTCAAACAAACTACAGACCTTCATTAACGGCTGTCTTCGCTCAGTACTCAAGACCAGATGGCCGGCCAGAAAAGATCAGCAACAGGGATCTCTGGCAATGAGCGAACCAACCAGGAACTGATTGTGAAACAAATAGGCAGGAAGAAATGGAGATGGATTGACCATACTCTTAGGAAACCATCAAGTGACATCACTAGACAAGCCATTACTCGAGTGGAACCTGAAAGGGAAGCGGCGAGTTGGCCGTCAGCGTGAGGGTGACTTGGAGGAGGTCATGTGAAGAGGAAATGAAAGCATGTGGGCAGACTTGGAGTGGAGTGAAAAAGTTGGCAGAAAACCGAAGGCAATGGAGACGCGCAGCTGAAGCCCTATGTTCCTCTAGGAATTAATAATAATAGGATTATAATAATAATAATAATAATAATAATAATAATAATAATAATAACATATCCACATCAATCCACTGCTCATTGATGACTAATTTCAAGATGAACTTTTTCAATTTTTAATAAGGTGTAATTATTTAAGACAATAACTTGATAAATTATTTTGCGTGTGTTCTACTGTCCACTTTAACGGTCTAACAGACTGAGGAAAACCACTTCGACTAGTGTATTTGATATCACATTCCTTGCATAATTATTGTAAGTTGTATAGGATCTGGAATCTAGTCTCTGAGGTACCTCAAGGTTGCAGGTACGCCTTGTTGACGAGTACTCATAAGCATGAAGTCCACGTGCAGGGCATCTTGCCGACTGCCTAAAGCCACTCACGCACACAGTGTACAACGATTGCAAATCACCTAACTCAATGACCATATTGTAAAGTTGACTGATAGGATTCAATCAGCTCGAAGACCAATGACTATAAACATCATATTGGTTACTCCCCAGGTTTCTTCGACCGACAGAATTAGTTTGACTAATGTCCTGAGTTAATTGTGTAATTGTGTAAAGCATTTGAATTTCTTTCATGATATGGTGACAGTAGAACTGTTTTGAACACCTTGCGCTGAATACTTCCATTGTTAAGTGTACTATGAGTTCTTTGAATTAAAAAACTCAAGAAAACATGGTTCAAGCTTTAAATAGACAATACGTTATTGTAAAAGCACTGTGTTTTTAGAATTGAATTTCTTCACTTATATTTGATTTCTTTAACTTTTCTCTCAATTTGTATGTATGTATGTATGTATGTATGTATGTATGTATGTATGTATGTATGTATGTATGTATGTATGTATGTATGTATGTATGTATGTATGTACTTGTGTTTGTATCTAGAAAGTGGATGGACAATATGAACTAGTTGAAAATAGATTCAGTAAATCTCTTCCAGAAGATATACATCAATTTCTGAAGGTGAATCACTCAATTCCAGGATTTTTAGCATCAGTTACATTGCATTTTCTTCGAGAGAATACCTTGTTAATGTGAAATATCATCTGTGTTGTACATTTTTAGACCTCTTTTTTCTATCTCTTGTATTTTTCTTTTCTGTACTATGACGTTCTATCACTTGTAAATAAAATGCTGTATTTGTATATGAGAAGGGGATTTTTATTTCCCTCGCTGTGTTGTTGGTAGGTAGACGGTTGGCAAATGCTTTATTATAAGGTGGTGATGTAAGAGTATGATGAAAACGCGAAATGTGGCTAGGAAGAGTAAATAAAATACGCGACAGGATTATTAGAACAACGTTCTTATGACATATACACAAAAGTGTTGAGTATTTTTCACCTATAAAAGGAGAATGACTAAAGTATATTCAACCATATTTATGACTGACTGACAGGTTTCAACATAGAAATTTGCATCGATGTGCAGCAGTTCGAGTCGCTACACTCCGTGTAGCACACAAAGCAAGAGAAGAAAATAAAAACAAATGCAGATTAGAAACAGTAAACAGCGATATGAAGCAAAAAGAATTGTAATATCGAAGAACAATATAGTTTTATTGGGTATGATACGTTACAAGGAGCGGATGCATTTGCGCCAGTCACTGAGAACGACTTTGGGCCATATCACTAATTGTCTCTAGCCATTGGTGTTTACCGTCCTGAGGACCCCATCCAGGCAGTCTACACCTTCCTACGTCACTGGCTTAAACTAACTGTTGTGTATTTCATTGACTAGTGCCATGTTTTGGTTTGAGCGCCGCTAGCTCTTTTCCAGCCTGACCCTATGTCAGCTAACACTGCCCATCGAGGAAGGCGATGACTAAGCATACGTAACACATGTCCTAACCATCTCAATCGGCGTAACTTCACAGCTTTGTTGATTGGTTTTGCCTCCTTACCTAGCACTCGACGCCTAACCTAAATATTGCTCACCTTATTACACCACTTCACACGGGAGCTAGAGCGCAGGCACCTGTGATCAAATACAGCTAGCCAGGCTTTTCATGTCTTCCACTCTCAATGGCCATGTCTCGCAGCCATCAAGGAGGATGGATCGGACTGCAGAACAGTACATACGTCCTTTGGTTGATAGCCGCATATCACGTCTACGCCAGAGACGGCGTAAACTGGCATATGCGAAACTAGCCCTCTGTACCTGTGCTGAGATTTCGTCAGCAATCAACCTGTTGTGGCTGATGCAACTTCCCAAATGAGGGAAGTGGCCAACACGCTCCACCAACCACTTTGCTCCCTATTTCTAAGCTAGGAGTCAATGTAGTCCAGTACTGTAGCATCCCCTTACATTTGGCGGGAGCGAATCGCATGCCAAGCATTCGCAGAGTGCAGCTCAAGGTGTTCAGAAGACTGCATTATGTCAGCGTCCTCACGTAGAAGGAGGACTGTATCATCTGCATATTCTAAGTCAACGAGATTATCTCACTGTAACAAGTCGATCCCTGAGTCTCTGAAGTGAGTTAGAGTTAAGTCCATCAGTACATCTATGATGAAATTGAATAGAAATGGGGGCATACCATTCGGGCAACACTAGTTGTTACCACTTCAGTCGACAACCCGCCAACCATATTTATAGTCATATTTTTCGTTGCAAATTCACGTAGTCTTTACGAATTCCCAGTGACAGTTGTTACGTCAGCATAGCCGTCATCCCACCACACATTACATAATGAACTAATCACAGTTGCTCACTTTTATGAGTCCTACTGATAGACAACAGTGAATACAGTATGGAAGCTTTCAGGATAGTATGCTTAAAATTCTACCGACACAATGAAGTATATTTTTCGAAACTCAATTTATTCTTTTAATAATGTTGTATGGAGTACCTGGACATGCTCCAAATGATTATTCGTAAGGTGTAGCCAGTCGGCTTGAACAGTCTGAAGATAACTGTCATAGAGAGAGAGAGACTGGAGAAGCTTTCTAAAGACGTAGAGCTGGACGACTTCCACCGCTTAAATTGACTCCGTAATGTAAAAAAAAAGAATGTAGGCTAGTATGTCTCTCCCGGTCTCTGAATGTCCACCTAGTGGTCTTATTTGCCAGCGTATAAATTACTAGAGGAAGGGAAACAATGTTCAAGAATCTCAGTGCTTATTATTAATGGAATATTCTTCGAAACTCCTGGGGGATATTTTACGCACAATACTTATGGTATCTTGCAGTTGTAACCACTTCAGTTCTTTACTTTTTGCAGAGTCAGTAGTTCGCTTTGAATCTAGCTTAGTTCAATACCAGAGACGAATAATTAAAACTTACACTGATTTTTACAGGACAGTGATTATGGTGCAGATTGTGTTTATAGTAAATTAGTGTGTATAAACTTATAGAGTTGTACTTGGGGTTGCGCATGAGTCAAGCATATATTATTCAGTAGATGGGATTATGGGCATATTTTGACTACGTTCATCGAAATCTTGATTGTTGTCTGTAGTTTGAGGTTATTGAAGTTTAGGCGAACGACGAAAATGTCTGATTGTAGGCAGTTTGTTGGGCTGCTACATTCTTATATGTTGGACTATGCTTACTTTGCGGATCAGTGAAGACAAGAATACCGTTTTTCTTAGGAAAGTGAAAAGTCACTTCAAGTCACTACACTTTCTAAATTATCTCTGTATAATCCATATTGTGCGTCGGTGGCATAGCGGTTAGGACGCTCGCCGACCATGCACATGGTCCGGGATTCGATCCCCCGCCACCGACGCACTCCTTCACCTCGCTAAGCCAGAAATAATGTTGGTAAAGAGGAAAGGTTGGGCATGATGCTAGCAACCCCATCCTGTAAAATAAACACTGCTACAGAAACTTCAAGCCACTAGCTTGAAGCCCTGTGTTCCACTGGGGAACGTGAAGGAAAAAAAATCCATATTTCGTAGATATTATCATTGTAGGCCCGACAACGACTTCTGTCCTGTCTAGTTGTTTTTCAATGAAAAATTAAGCATGAAACTGCATGCGAAACTACTCAATCCGATTCAAAGGCGAATAGTTGCAATGTTTGTAACACATAGGTGGTAGTTTGCACAGTATGTACGCCTCCTCATAGACAATCATTTCCTGGGCTGCATATATTCATAACTATTGGAATATTTAGTTATGTTTGAGTTCATCATCACAATTCACTAATCAAATTTTTAATTTTCTTCTTAAGTTTATTTAACTTTATGAATTTAAACAAATCAAAACAACAAATGTTTGTGCAGAATAATATGAGGCCATCGTATATTCCATAGTCGGATTCTCTTCACCTACTTACAACCTAAAAGTTAATCATGTAAATGTACACAGAATTTTGTCATACATGCAGGTCTCAACATGATTTTTGTTAACAGAGACACACTTGTTAAAAAAACAGTGTTCAGAAATTCCACTTATATAAATTTTATGAAGGAGGAGGTCAAGGTTCAAACAAAATACAAACATGCAAAATTAATGATGGACGAATATATTGCAGATTGAGTTTCCACAGTGAAGACCAGTGGAGAGAAGTTGATGATGAGCAACAGTGTGGTGAGTTTAACTCAAGTCTTAGTAAGAAAAAAGAACTAAAGTAAAAAAAGGTATGCGGGGAGTTTAGAGAAGGTTATGTAATCGATCCAGACGAAGAGACGACGTTGGGTCATCAAGGCAAGAAAAGACTAGTAAATGAATCTTTGTGGACACAAGTCAGGTTTTAAGCGTTTGATAGTGATTTTTTCGGTAAATTTGAGGTGAGTTAAGTCATATTGTCGTTTAAGAATCTTGGAGGATTCCACCTCATGACCCGTATCAACAAGATGTCCAGCAGTAGCGCTGTTCAAAGCATCTGTCTCCTTGAGATGTAAACATTTTGATAGATGTTCAGAGCATCTGAGATATACCCTTCTTTCTGTTCTCCCAATGTAACTGTTCCTGGAGATAGATGTAGATTTGTGTACACAATTAGAATTAATGTGGGAAGGGTATCTGTCAACCTTTGATCGCACCAAAGAGTTTGTACGATAAACGTGAACCAATTCGGCTTCAGGATACGTCAGGGCTAGTGAAGTTTTTTCAGTCTTCTGTTGATTATTCCTCCATTATTATCTCCTTCAAAATCGAGCTGGATGAAGACAACCTCCTTATTCACTGTAATTTATTTCACCTTTAGATTTTAAGATCTTCCATACTTTTTGATGAATTTCGGAGGGTAACCATTATTTTTTAAGAATTTTTAAATGTTTAGGAGTTCTTCCAGTATTTCTGTGGAACATATTCTTCTGTCTCTGTAAAACAGTTTTGACGAATGGTCGTATATAGCTAATTAGACAAAAACTATTGAAATTTGACTATAGTCCATTCCACGTGGATTTTGGGTGAATGGATCTTTGAGGACTTCCATCTTTCAGGCGTTGTGTGACAATATCGAGGAAATAGAACTCTCCATCAGTTTCATGTACCACTTGGAAGTCAGTATTTTCGTATGTGTCATTGAGCAGTTTAAGTAGTTGAGAAGCATGATTTCGTTATCACATAATATGAAGGTCTCATCAATGTATCGACAATATGAAGTTGTCTCATCAGTCGCCTTTTTCAGCTTTGTTACCTCAAGATTAGATATGATATCTTCTGTTATGGGGCTAGGGGACTGCCTATAGCTACACCAATTATTTGACGATAGAAGTTATTATCAAACTAAAATTGTGCATCTGTGGTGTACATTAGAAGTAGGCGTTTAAATTCTTCTACTGGCAAAAGGATCAAATCGGAATGCTGGCATATAATATCTACAGATTCAAGGGTCGGAGTTCTTGCGAATAAGGAGGTTACATCAAATGATACCATGAACTTACTGGAAATGTTCATGTTGTTCAGGCTTTCGACAAAATGAAATGAGTCTTTAACTGTATACGGTAATAGTCGTTGAGGAATAGGCTCCAGCATCTCTGCAAGCCAACAAGCAACTTTGTTCTAGAGTGAGTTGACCACAAAAAGTACAGATCTTATGGGAACAGCTTACTTGTGTTGTCTTGACAGGCCGTATATGTAAGGCATACGAGA